CATCTATAGCCAGCATGCTGGGTGTTGTAGTCCAACACATCTGGAGGAAGCCACATTGGAGGGAGAGTAGCACTGCCAATACCGAGATATGGCAGTTTCTGATGTTGTTAATCAAATGCTTGTTGGGAGGTCCTCTGTTTTCCCAGTGAGTTTCAGTAAGGGCTGGATTTCCATCCTGTCCCTTTCATTGGCATACAGTGGCAGCTGCCAGTTCTGCTCAGTGAACCACCTTATCAGCTGCTGCTGGACCAAGATAACATCTCCCTTAACTCCAGAAACCAGACTTGACAAGAGACTGGCTCCTGCTAAGTCAGTCCTAGAGGAGATCAACCCTGACTACTCTTTAGAAGGCCAATACTGAAGATGAAACTCCAATACTTTGGCCATGAGAAGGAAGGACTCACTGGAGAAGAGCCTAATGCTGGGAACAATTGATGGCAAAAGAAGAAGGGGAAGGCAGAGAATGAGGTGGTTAGATGGAGTCACTGAAGCAGTTGGTGTGAGCTTGAGTAGACTCCGGGGGATGGTGGACAACAGGAAGGCCTGGAGGAATGTTGTCCATGGGGTCACGATGGGTCAGACACGACTTCACAACTAGCAACAAGCAGCAAGAAAGGCAGTCTGGAAAAAGCACAAGCAGCAGATTAAAAAGGGCCAGTGCGGCACAGCGGTAGTGTGGGACTGGGACTCAGGGGGTCCAGGTTCTAGTCCCCACTTGGCCACAAAGCTCAAGGAGTAACTTGTGGTCAGTCACTGACTTTCAGCCTGAGGGTTGTTGTGAAGCTAACAGGGAGGAGGAGGATCATGTGTGCTATCTGGAGAGAGGGTCCTTGAGAGGAGAGAGGAATAAGGAGAGATATAAATAAAATATTTTCTGTCTGTCTCCCTACCAGCCTGTCTTTCAGTTGGAATGTCATTCTCTTTCTGCACAACTCAAGTTGCTCAAACCAGAAAGCTGGTTCTCAGGGCAGCTATTATATCATGTCAAATGGCACCTCAAAGATTTCGTGCTGTGCAAAAAAGTGAGGCACATCCGCTGGCCATTAGTAATGATGAATGGTGCTGCTTGCGTTTATTCCATACTGCCTTAGCAGGAGCCAATCTATCATCAAGGCTGGTTCCTAGAGTTAAGGGACATTTTATCTTGGTCCTGCAGATATCTGATCAATGGTGCCCTCCTGCCCAGTACATGGATAAAAGTACCTGAGTTTTGCTGTTCTGGTCTGGTTTAAATGCTCCTTTGCTTCATAGAAAGCACCACCCAACTTGTTTTGATCTAGTAAAGACTTCCTTCCTGGTGTGTTTGCACTCCCTGCCAGCCACTCCTTTGTACAATTGTACGCATACAAATGGAATCTCTAACTGTCTGAAGCTGTAATCTTATACAGGTACTCCATTGAATTTAAAGGGTTTCCTGGGTTCAGGTGACAGAAATCAGATTCAGGGGTTGAGTACTAGTTGAATGTGCATTGGTTTTGAACCATGGGTTGTCGTAGAAATGAAGGCTCTTGTGTTGTCTGAATCCAGCTGCAGTAACAAACAATGGTTGGTTAGCCAAAACAACCCATGAAGAGAAGCAATGTTTTATCTTGTTTTTTTAAACGGTGGGTTGATTGTCTTTAACCAATCATGAGCGCACCTGAATTTAGACAACATGATAACCCATGTTTCAACGATAAAGGTAAAGGTTTCCCTTGACATTCCAGTCCAGTCATGTCTGACTCTAGGGGATCGTGCTCATCTCCATTTCCTAGCAGAGGGAGCCAATGTTTGTCCGCAGACAGTCTCCGTGGTCATGTGGCCGGCATGACTAAACGCTGAGGTGCACAGAATGCTGTTACCTTCCCACCGAAGTGGTACCTTTTTATCTACTTGCATTTGCATGCTTTCGAACTGCATGGTTGGCAGGAGCTGGGACGAAGCAACAGGAACTCACCCCGTTGTGTAGATTTAAACCGGCGACCTTTCGATCAACCAGCCCAGCAGCCCAGCAGTTTAAACCACTGTGCCACCTGCATCCCTGTTTCAACAATAAGCCATAGTTTAACAACAACCTACATTCAACCCATCCTCAGCTCTGGAACTTGGGTTATCTTGTGGACTTTCTATGTAGGCATGTATAAGATTGCACTTTGAAATCCCAAAGCTCCACTAGCAGTCAGAGTAAACCAGGGGTGTAGAATTTCAGATTCAGAGGCATTGTCTCCTTTCTTCACCCACTAATGATTTTGATGACTTCCTGGCATTTGTGTGTTTTCTTCCATTTCCAAAGGCAAAAATGCCTCTCCTGGCTTAGCTACTGAAAGCACGAGCTTTAAACTAAAGCTTGCTGACATTTTTTAGTATTGTGGCCCTGTCCCCTTTGCATTTAGCACTGCCAGTTACTGGAATGCAGCCTCTTTGGGCTAAAAGAAGTTCTGTACCCCAGTGTAGCCAATACTGAGCTAGAAGGGTCAATGCACTGAACTCAGTCTACAACACCTGTGTACATTGTAGTCCTTAATGCCTGAATCCATCCAGGAAGGACAATTCACCCAGGGCTGGGATCAGACTTTTTGAGAATAAAAAAATGCCCTGGGGGTAGAAAGGGCTGCTGCATCCTCATGATGTCAAAGTCACAAAAAATATGGTTGGTACTATTATCAGCTTTGACAGAGCCATTCACCTATTTGAGGTGATGAAGGGATTAACACACCTGTTCCCATTCCCAAGGTGTGATCAGTGTTGTCAATGCTGCATATGCTATGGAGTGCTTCCTACTGAATTTAATATCAATGCAGCAATGAGGGCTTCTGTTATCTTTCTCTGAGATATCTTGGTAGGACAGGATGAAACTTAAAATAAAGGCAAGCATCCTTAGTCACAATTCTCAATGTATATTAGGGATTCACATTTCATAATATAGTTCAGTCACTTAAATATGACTGAAAACTGAAACATGGGGAAACCAGCCTCCTATTCATATTAACGTTTAGTCACACATAATTGCTTCCAGGGAACTTGCTTCCATGGAAGCCAGTGTAAGAACTGCTATAATTGCCAAAGTATTATGAAATTGCCAAAGTATGACAGTGCCTTGAAAATTGTAAGGTAATTTTTAATAATGACAATGATTTGGGCAGTTTCCAGTAAAGATAACAATAATTTATAAAGTACCCCGAATTCTAGATGATGTACATGCCGTATTTATCTCTCATTTTACATCTCCGCAAATTCTAGACCAGCAGCCTGTCTAACCAGCGTTCCGTTCCTACGGTGGCCTGGCCAAATTCCCCAGCAGTTGCTGGTGAGAGGTGTCAGAATCCCGGAATCTCAATTTGAGAAGAGGAAATAAAACTCGGGGTCGTAGGAAAGATCAATCGTTATGAACCTCCGCGTCTTTATTGTCTATCCCAGGTTCCCGCGGTTGACTCACGATAATGCATTACCGGTCTAGCAGAGATGAACTCGCTGCAAAGCTTTAATTCATCTACCAGCAGTTTTTATAATCTCTCTGTCACGTACACCCATACAGAGCCATTAAGGACAGAATACCTGTATTGCAATAAAGTTCAGTGATCAGCATATGGAGAAAAGATACAGGAATGTCAGTCAACCACACTGTAACAGTGGGATTAGTATTGACACTTTAGTTGAGTAACTTGAACCCATCTCCAGGTCTGCTCAGACATGCAAATTCAAGCCACTAAAAACTATTCATGATAAGCTCAGACCCTTATATCTAAACATTCTGCATGATCAGGGCACATGAAGCCCTCTGGCCTATCAAAGGTTATTGTAAACTGAATTCAAACAATGACTATTTATAATGTATATATGGGCTAAAATGGCCTACTGTAGCCTACAGCTAAAGGTGAGAGAAAGGAGTGGGGGAATGCCATTTTAAACAGTGACAGCTTGGTTTTGAGAAGGAAGACAGGATTTGATCCCACAATGGAAAGGCACACAGGAGTAATGCTTTTCAGACAGGATTTACCCAAATTTTCCCAACAGAGGCATACAGTTCTGAAACTGGAGGTGATACAGAGCCCTCATGCCTAGTAGCCATCAATAGTTCGTGCGTGCCCAGAGTGAAGTAAAAATAATAAATAGGACCATGTGGAATCCAATTAATTGTGTCATTCCCGATCCTCAAAATGGAGCTCCATTTGCACGGAAGGCAGTGTTAGGGGATGGCCCAGGAATGCTTCCCCCCCCCCCCCCCCGCATCTGTCTGCCTGAGTTTTTTTTCTCCTCCTTTTTCTTTTTTCTATGTCCTCCTCTCCTTGTCCCTAATCCTTTTTTACAAACAGGGCTGCCCTTAGGAGATAAAGATACATACAGAGAGATTTTAGAACACCTGTAAATTAGCAAATGCAAATTGGAGCATTTTATTTTGCGGGTCTGAGCGCCGGATCTTTTCGCTGCCTAGCACCGCCGCTGACCGAAAGAGACGCGGGGAGCGCGAATGAGAAATGCTGTTTAACAGCAGAGAAAATCAAATGAAATCAGAGAAGGACCTGTTTCGCCCTTTCACTCGCAGAGCAATTCGCTCTTTTGCGTCCCTCCAGTGCACATCCGTTCAGCGTCTGTGGCCAGGTAGGGATTAAACTCCCCGCCTAGGATCAGGAGTGGATTAGAGGTGACCCTTCGGGAAAGGTACAAGCGAGCGCGGCGTATGTGTGCGCGTCTGCGGGAGGGAAGTGCCTGGTTTGCCCGCAGCCGCTCCAGGTGGGGAAGAAGCTCGCGGCGCCTTTAAGAGACGCAAGGCCCTCTACCTTTCCCTTTGTACCTGCTTTTTCGAAAGGCGCCCTCGCGGCCTTCTCATTGGCGGAAGAGTGGGGGAACCCACCTCCTCCCCCCGGTAACCTGACCCCGGGCGGAAAGTGAAGGCAACCTGAGAGGACCAAGTGGGGGCATGGAGGGTAAGCCACCCCGCTCCCTGATTGGCCAGTGCGGAGGCAAGGGCGGAGCGTCGCTCTCTCAGCGGCCTGCCTCCGCCCGCTCGTAAGACTGAGCAGTGCTGGCGCTGCTGCTTGGAGTAGTCGCTGCAAGAATAGAAGCGCCTGCGTGGATTGGGTTTCTCTTCCTTTGCTCTGAATTGCTCGCCGCGCTGCTCCAGCCTCATTCCAGGTTCTCCTAGGCAGGCTCCCCGCCTCCTCTCTTTTGGAGTAGGCGGCGCCTCGGTTGCAGCTCCTTCCTTGCTTTCGCTCTCGGGTCCTTGCTGATGATTGTTTCATTAAAGGAATGCTCTTTTCTGTCACCCTCACCTTTTGCCGTGAGGTTTAAATGCAGTTTACAAAGGGGCTGACATCACCCGGAGAACTGCCTTGGAGCGCAAAGCAGAAGCATAAAGAAGAAGAAGAAATCAATTCTCTAAAAAATGGCATTTTATTTCATTTTCTAGTAACTGTTAACTGTTCAGCTGCTGTCCACAGAGCGGTTGGATCATTGAAGCTAGAGGCGCCGACTAATTCTCAACGTATTTTTTGAAACTGCTCTTATTTGTTGGGAATCGATGGGGCATGATGCTAGAACAAGTGAAACGAATAAAACCCAGGCAGGTTGAACTGTGAGCTAACAACTTCCTCTCCCGTTGCTGTGGTTTTAATAACCCGCGGTAAGTGGATTTGCTTAATTTCTAAGAGGCTTCGTGGAAATAATTAGAAAGGTTTGGAACTGGCTTTTTCTAAACCCATGTTTGCTTTTTAAAGTTATGCAATGTTAAGGCATGGGAATAGTAGGAAAGAGAACACATCTTACAGAAATGCATGGATTTACTGTGTTTCCCGGTCTTGATCTTGAAGAATTAGAGTGAGTCTTTTAAAAAACGATAGAAAGATTTTTTTTTTAAAGAAGAAACCCTCCAAAATGTTGCAATAAATTTTAGACCTAAAGTATTTTGTTTTAAACAATCCTTCTGTGTGGAAAAAGTGGGTTGTTTCTTTGCTCCCTTCACATACCCTGGAGCACCAGAGTACAAACATGGCAAAAAATTCTGTGGAGGGGTCAAAAGAAGACCTCAGCAAGATGACAGAAGAAGACATGTTGAGGTGGAGCAAAGAGGAGTTGGTGAAAAGGCTGAAGAAAGTAGAGAATGAAAAGATGAACTTGATGGTGGAGCACAGCAACTTGATGAAGGATGTGAACCGGAGGCTGCAGGTTCACCTGCATGAGATCAGGGGTCTGAAAGAGGTCAATCAGAAGTTGCAGGATGATAACCATGAACTGAGGGAACTCTGCTGCTTCTTGGATGATGACAGACAGAAGGGGAAGAAGCTGTCCAGGGAATGGCAGAGGTTTGGGAGACACACTGCTGGTGTGATGTGGAAGGAGGTGGGAATGTACCAGCAGAAGCTGAAAGAGTTGGAGGCCAAGCAGGAGTCCCTCATGAGGGAGAACATGGAGCTGAAGGAGATCGTTCTGATGTTGGATGAAGAGAGGAATGGAGCTGGCTCCCGGAGCTCCATAGACAGCCAGGCCAGTCTCACCAACCTGAATGGGGGCTCTGGAACCAGGGATGTTGGTGATGGGAGTAGTACGTCCAGCACTGGCAGCGCAGGGAGTCCTGACCATCACCACCATCACCTGCACCATCACAAACATGTTGAAAACAAGGCCGGAGCTATCCGGAGGTCTATGGATGACCTCTCTACGCCGCTGCATCACAGGAGCATCCCCAATGGGCTCAATGGTAAGTCCTGGCTTCCAGGCCACATGTTTCTTTCTGCACTAGAAATGGGGTGCCACCAAACTTTTGGCTAAGGGGACACACCAGTGGGGACTTGCCTTCGTTCAAAGCTTGTTGAACCTACTGTATATCTCAATCCAGAAGTGGGCCCTGCTCTTACTCATTTAATAGAGTGTATGCAGGTGCTTAATATGGATTAAGTTATCCCAGAATACCTTTTAATGACCCTGAGTTTCCAGCAGACTTGATTCATCCTTTCTTCTAAGGCACGTTTATGGGGAATCTAATCTGTAACTCTCTTTTGAGTGACCCTTGATGCTCCGGTGTAACACGGGTGTGATTTGGGGCTCTTGTAGAAAGCTTCACCCAACATTCAACAGCAGCAGCTCTTTGACTGGCGGTGTCAGCCTAGCCTTTAAACACTCCTGGGTAAGCTTCTGGTAATGAGATTTGCCATGATGTGTTCTTCTGCCACAGACCTTCTTGAACTGTGGCCTTCCACGTGCGGAAGGCGGAAAAGTGTTCTGGGACAGAAGGTGCCATGGTGGTGCAGACATGATCTAGATCAGACTAACTTGTCAAGACCCAGATGACGGCATTGTGGATTTTATCAGAAAAGATTTCTCTGTTTACTGACTGGCTCTGGAATAGCACTGTTGCTGATCTAAACCAGCATCATAGCAAAACTGGGAAGGCTATGTTATTTAGTCTTTTCCTTCCTCTTCCATTTTAAGGGTTGCGTAATTGCCTGGGCTAATTTCTGAACTAAACAAACACTGATTGATCTTTATTACAACACACACACACACACACACACACCACCCAACCAAACATTGTCACGCGTCAGCTTTCAGTTCTCTGTTCTTGCTGCCTGTTTGATAGTTTGGACTGACTATAAAGAATAGAGGTGGTGCTGGGACAGCTGTTTATATCCTTATCTACAACAGAGGGTAAAAGCTCTCTCCCTTAGCTGTGGAGGTTTGCTCTAATAGGACAACTCTGTCTAACTGAATAACCTCAGTCAAATATTATGGTCAGTGTATGTGCGTTCCCACATTTGTTTGTGTTTTCTTCTTTTAAGTTCCAGTTGTTTGGTGACCAGAATGCCTAATAATGGATCCATGCAAATATTTAGTGTCACAGCCATTAAATGAGCTAACTATTTATTATATATCTATCTATCTTTTGAGCCTATCCTATCTTGAGGGATTAGCAGGGAATCGGAGCTTAGGTAGCAGGCGCCAATAGGATAATGGTTGCAGGGGGTGTGCCTTTAATATTACACACATTGAATAGCCAGCTAAAATTCTGTCCTTTCACTGCCTTGCCTGTAACTGCTCAATCCAGTTCAAATAAAATTGAGTGCATTGTAATTGAACAACTTCAGCCCTTTGAGTGCCCATGGACTGAAAGTTTTGTGGACACAAGGCCGCCACTGAATCTGACTACATATTCTTGCCTTTTGAACTTTGCACACTCAGATAGTCAAGGGAGTGCTCTCTTGGGAATTGCAAGACAACCTTTTTAGGCACCTAAAACTTGGAACAGGTTTAAAGGGATAAGATTGAAAGGAGGCGGGAAATTATATAAGCTGCCTTGTGTTCCCTGAAGGGCAAAAAGGCAGGGTATAAATATAATAAATAAAAAGGTTTTCCATTGGATTATATGGTACAGTTACGCTCCAAATCTAATGATCCTATCCCTAGCCATATTTGATTGAAAGTTAAGTCTCCCAGGCTTCATTCATATGCTAAGCCACAATTTAACCATATGAAGATAAGCTGCATCAGCCCTGTTGATGCAGACCTTCCTTGCTGTTCCCTCTTCTCCTGGTGTGGCTTTCAGAAGGAATTTGGAAACTTCTGGTTTTAAACTCAGTTTGTTGCAATGTTCAAACCTTGATAAAGTGCGAGTCAAACCATAGTATATGAAGCTGTCTCACTTTCGTTAAGCAGAGTAGAGACTAACCACATTTTAGGGTTGGGATGTGAGGTTAAACTGGTCAATCTAAAATGGAAGTGCAAGTTTCCAATCTCCTTGAGAAGAAAAGGGCAGGGAGTAAGTGACCCCAAGGCTTACTGCAGGCAAATGGTGTCACTATTTGCAAGTCAGTGTACCAAGAACTGCAATCACAGGATGCCCAGTCTGAATAAGATTCTATTTGTGCCAAAAGGAATAAGCTGGCAAACTTAAAATCACAGAAGAATAGAGTTGTAAGGCACCACGAAGGCCACTGGGTCCAACCCCCTGCTGTTGCAGGATACCAGTCCACACCACTCAGATGGCTTGTTCATATGCCTTTGCTATGACCTATTTCCATTAGAACCTTCAATTTTAAAGATCATCTTTGATGTAGTAGTTAAAGCATATTACCTGCTTCTCTAGTCTTGGCAACTAAAATGTCTTTATTGGTGGCAAAAAGACTTATGCAACATCCAGTAGAAGCAGTTTATATAATATCATAGCCTTCCCTGACGTGACATTGTCCAGGTAGTTTGGAAAACTCCCTCAATTCCTGGTCATTAGCCATTCCTGCTGGGTTGATGGGAATTGCATCTGGAGTGCACCAAGTTGAGGAAGGCTCTATTAATGGTTCATTATTATGTACTTATACCTTGCCTTTTCTCCAAGGCACACTGTGATGTTTATCCTCATAATAAACCTGTGTGGTGGGTAAAGTTGGGAGGACGGGACTGGTTTGAGTCATCTGTGTGCTGCTTCACTGATGGGAGATTGGGCTCACAACTGTGTCATTCCAGTGGTATTGCTCCCAGAGTAAATTCCAGCACAATCATACATATGCTCACTTGATTTCCCACTGATTTCAATAGGACATATTCCCTACAAAATGCATAGGATGTATTCCCTACAAAGTGTATGGGACAGTGTTCTTGCCTGGACAGATGCTCCACTGAAAGCTTATAGAGCTGCATTGTTACAGTGAGCTTGTTATGCTGGGGTGATATCCTCCATTGTAGTAGAATACCATCATAACTACTTGCCATTGATAGCATGGTTCTCCATGAAATTGTCTAATCCAGGGTGGTCCAAATTTTGTACCTCAAGAGCTGCTTGAGAACTTTGGTACAGGACCTGGGAAGGCACACAATGAACTACATTTTCACATCATGATTAAAGAGTTTGCAATAAATTTATTTAATTTCATATACATGATTAATATAATTAACCATTAAGCAAGGGAGAAAACTGATATGAGGTCTCAGAGTTGGCTTTTCTCTGTGAGTTGGAAGAAACAAACCCTCCCCAACCCCTCCTTCCTTCTTGGAATTGGTGTGCTAAGCCTCTTGTATTTGAGCTGACAAGCTCTTCCCAGCATGCCCCACCTGCCACTCATCTGCTGGAGCAGTGTGAGGCATGCTGGGACAAGCTCTCAGGAGGCTGCAGTCATGCCTATGCTATTGCTGGGATCTGAACTGTACGGGGAGACAGGGTTCCAAGCAGCAGGAGGACTGCAGAACAAGGCATTGAAGGCCATATGTAGTCCATGGGCTGCGTGTTAGATCACACTGGTGTGATACCTTACAATATATTCCCATTCTTTGTCATTTTTATCATAGTAAAATGTGAAAATTTATAATCCCATGCATGCTTCAATAGCAAAAACAGGCCTTCAGCTTGAGGATTGTTTCCAGCAATATATTAATATAAATCAGCCTATTCGTATGTTGCCTGCCCATTCAAGTATTTGTGCCTTGGATTCAGTAGCAGATATTGTTGAAAATTTTCCCTTTTTTGAAAATATGGTTTTGGCATTTACTATTCCTGTATAAATACTACCTGCTACATCTTTTCTTCCCCTCACATATCAAAAATGTTGCAAGTTCTTCTCACTACCCAATTGAATCATGCTCATTAACTAGATATTTTAAAAACTGAATGACAGCAAAGTTTATGGCATGGATGGTTGGTAATGATGTTGATTTTCTGGATAATCTTGAATTTAAAAATTTCTTTAAAACTTGATCTCTCTCTCTAGGGCATCAGAATGTTTTCTGATGTAATCTGAAAAGAATGCAGTGATTTGCATGGAGTGATTTGCATAGGAAAATTTTATGATGCCCTAGAGTAATCTATTTAAGCATGTTTATTTTTCTTGTATGTAATTAACAACAAGGTGAAGGAAAGCACCCCTTGTTAATTTGTTTCCAAAACACAATTGCTTATTTGATCAGAAATATTTTGGATTGGCGGGGGGAGAAATAAAGCACACTGGAAATTATAGTCCCACAACATCATGTTGAAAGGAAGGAAACAGGAATGCAAACTGTAGTTTCCCAAGTCACTGTATTGTCTCATAACTTTGGAACATGCTCTGCCTTGCTCAGAGTCATGGCTGGGACCCTCACCAAGATGGTGGCTCAGGGTTTCAGACCCTACTGACGCTAAAAGACATACACATCCAATCTTTTCCAAGATCTTCCCCATCCTATTTGGGAAAGCTTCCATCTGAGTGTTTCCCCCCAAACTTTTGTACTCCTGAATACTGTGGGGACTCCCAAAACTGCTAATACCTTTGGTTGTGCCAATTTGGCTACACAAATTTGGTCCTTGGAGAATTGAGGTTGCTTGTTTATATTGTTTCTGATCTGCAACAGTGTTTGAGAAGGAGGGTGGATGGGTAGGTAATTTCTAGGGGGGAAAAAGAACTAGGTTCCAAGTCTGAATAGAAGCTGCACATAGAAGTCCAGACCCCTAATCCCAGGTTAGAGTTACATTCAGTATGACAGGAATTAGCACCCTTCGCACACACATTTTTGTTTGTGCGCAGTTAGGAATTGGGGAGAAGGCTTGGTTTTGGTTCTGCAGTCGTTCTATGTCTCAGAGGTGCTTGCGATATCTGAAGCCCTGCCTGATGGGTGGCTGGAAGCAAGTTTAGAAACACACATGTGGTAACACATAAACCAGTAAAACAAGTCCCTTCCCCAAATAACCAACAGATGGTGGGGAGGAAAGTGACGGGAGAGGCAAAGGCAACAGGGGAT